TTTTTTCTTCCCCCACACAACAAAACGGTTCTTGATTTATGTCCCCCTTTTTTGTTTTGCTTTGTCAGAGATGTGTGTTCCATTGCAGGTAGAGAAGCTGTATTTGGAGAAGTCTTTATAGGACCTTTTCATACTTGATGCCAGACCAAAGATTGTAGGTACTTGAAAATAACCCAATATAGTCCATAGTCCATAATAGTAGTGAGTTATCAGCACAACTGGCAATTGTCAGAAGTTGTTGACTTGAGCTTTTTACAGCTCAGCATATTAATATAGCTTTACTTTTTATACCTCATGGTTACACTTTTCTACTGGATGGTTAAGACCAGGTTAAAGCAAGACCTAAGAAACCACAAAAAATCCATATATACATGGAAATTAAACAACACCCTCCTCAGTAACCAATGGGTTACAGATGAAATTAAACAAGAAATTAAACATTATATAAAATTCAATGAATATTAAGGCACAACTTATCAGAATTTATAGGATACAATGAAAGCAGTTCTTAGAGGGAAATTTATAGTGGTGAACTCACACATTAGGAAAACAGAACAGGAAAATAAATAACCCTAATGCTGCACTTCAAACGTCTAGAAAAAGAAGAGCAAACCAAACCCAAAGCCCAAAGAAGGGAGGAAATTATAAAGATTAGAGCACAAATTAATGCAATCGAGACAAAGAAAACAATACAAAGAATGAATCAAAAAGCTGGTTCTTTGAAAGATTAAATAAAATTTTTCTTTTTTTTTCTTTTTTTTTTTTTTTTTTTGTTTAAATGGAGTCACACCCAGGATTTCTTCTAGAAATGCCTGCTGATGAGAACATTCTTTTTTTCAGCCACTGCAATCATCGTAGGCAGTTACTGGGTTGAGGGTGCCCCACTTCTCAGCCCAGCGAACTTGTTCAGGATCTTTCATCCCTTTTGCCCACAGGTGCTGGTCATTGTCCTGAGGGTCATGCAGAACAAGCCTTGCCTGATTTTCCTATTGTAACCCATGCCTTCAGATATCTGGAAAGCTCTTATGTAGGAACAGGCCATACAGATGGGCTGAGGGCTACAGAAGGGATATAATGCCAGCTAATAATAAATTGCTACCTTAAACACTCTTATTTTTTTTTTTTTTTTGTCTCCCCCAGGAACCTCTTGAGGCTATGTGGTTTTGGTTTAGGGCAGAGTTCAAGCCCTCAGAGACACCCTGGCTAAACCTCTGAATAATGAGCACTGAAACTTCCCTACCCACTACTTTTTATCCATTCATTAAAGCAGGGCTACGGAGGTTAAGCTGAGTGCCACACACGAGTGCATCTCCTCCATTTCTCCCCAGTCTGGGCATCCTTTAGATGTCATGATAGGTCGCAAGAGATGGACCAGGCTTCTTTCACAACACCATGCTAAAGCCATGTAGCCATTCCCTTCTTAGAACTTCCTCCCTTTTAAAAGTGAGATTTATACTTAGCGAGACTATTAGCCCCTGCTGTGTGAAGCATGAAATATGTTGAAATGCTACCTTTCTGGAAATACTTTAAAATTATACTCAACTCTATTAATTATTCAGTTTATGATTATGTAAGCTCTTGGCTTCCCTTTCTTCTATCTAATGATCCTGACGAGGCACAGAACTGTCACCTTCTTTCTGCTTCTTAGTAGAGATTTTGATAAGCAGCACCGGGGCTAAAATTCATTCAGGATTGTGTTTTATTTATACAGGAAGTGCCATGGAGACTTCAAGGCCACAAGGTAGTTGGTTTGACAGTGTTACTTTCTGATTTAAAATGTGAATTTTAGAAAGTATTTGGGTGAAAAGTCACAATTATATAGAAGAAAATGATTCAGAAATAAATGTTACCTAGGATAACAGCAATGATGGTGGTACAAAAATAATACACCACAGCCCGCAGACCAATTTTTCCAGATACGTTGGAATCCAGGGCAGCAACACCTGCAAGATTTGGGAGAAATCAAATTATACTATTTTTAAAAGACAAATTTCCAGGACTGGTAATTCAATATTCAAGGTGTAAAATAAAGAACTAAGAGCTGTTCTTTGCATCCATACAGCTCATCTCACACTCATTATTTGGATACAATGAAAAAGGTAAAATAAACACTTGAGAATTCCAAACACAGAGTAGGATGGAAGGCTGGACCAAGCCTAAAGGAGCAATAAATTTTCCAATGACCTTGCCCTCTCTTTCTCTTGAAAGAGGTCATAAAACAGTCACAAGGAGTCCCCTTTTTCAAGTACTCTGGAAATCTTATAAAAATTTATACATTACTATCTCTCTCTCTACACACACACACACACACACACACACACACACACACATTCAATAAACCTCTTTTGTTTTTTTTCAAAGTTTTATTGATAAACAGATAGCAATGAGACAGTTTCAAATCAAATCGGAAGTACAGTTTCAACAAATAATACACTGCATATATTCTTCTTAGTGGTTAATTGCTGTACAAGAAGTGGACTTGTGATCCTATTTACAAACACCATTAGAACAAATCATTCTATTCATTAAGAGAATGCAACTGTATATCTATCCTAACCACTTTGAATACACAGATACAAAATGGACATTCATCGGTATACCCCATTTTTTCTAAGTTCCGTTATTGAATATTATAGGTGTGTAAACTCAGCAAAATATTCTAAAAGAGTCCAGTAGCCCATAATAGCATTGAGTCTTCTGTTTAACTGGCAATGTCAGAAATTATTGACCTGAGTCCCCCACAGCTCAACATAACAGCATGGCTTTATTCCCTATCAATAAACCTCTTTTGGAATTTAGTAACAAGGGAAAAATTTACTCTGAGATAGTTCTCTTGTCATATAAGAAGAATCATGAAGTCATACAAGTCATGATATTTCTGTTGGGAAGCTCAACTGAAGGAATAATATTTATATATGATTATGATAGTAATAGATATTTAGTGCAATCACCCGAATAAGAAACAGAGATATAAAGATCAAAACAAAAGTAACTTCATCTCATCAACCACAGTTAATATGCTGGCAAATTTTCTTCCAATATTTTTCTTGATTTTTTTGTGTACTTAGCTAATTAATTTTTTAGAGGAATATTTCTGAAATGAATACATAGCTTGAGATTAATAATAGATTACACATTGTAAATAAATTATTTACAAACTTAAATGAATATAACAATAAAAATTGTCCAAAATAAAAATGAAGAAGAAAGAATTTCCAGATTAGTCATATAATAGTTCATTCTGTGCCAAAAGCAAGAAACTTATATTCATATAATAAGAATTCTCAAAGTAGAAAGGGGTAGGCAATAAATATTTAAAGATTTTAAATTTCTGAATTTAGTTGAAATTATAGCACCACATTTCCAAGAAAAAAATGAATCTTTTGCACAAGAAATATGAATAAGATCATACCAAGAAACACAAAAATGAAATTGTCCAAAACTAATAGTAAAGAAAAAAATCATTAAAGCATATACATTAAAAAATTAGCTATGGAAAAACAAAACTAAATAGCATCTTATTTGACATTAGAAAAAAAGAATAATTAATTCAAAGGACTAAAAAAAGAGATCTGTCCTCATTGAATTTTATACTTAGCAAACATACTTTTGAAAACTAAAAGTAAAATATTTTCCAGTTATACAAACTCAAAATATTCTAATATCTCCAGATGTAGCATATAAAAAATGACAAAGATCATAATCCAGAAGGTAAGAGAAGTTGCTGTATATTCCTGGACAAAGAATAAAGAGCTCCCAAAATGGTAGTTATGCAGGACAATGTAAAATATAATTATATTAGATGAACCCATTTAAAAGGTCATTGAAGATTTCCACAAAACAGTATTTATCTTATATCAGGTTATATACATACTTTTTCGTGTGTGTGTGTGTGTGTGTGTGTGTGTGTGTGTGTGTAAAGGACAAGGAAGAAGTAACATAAAGTCAATGCAAAATGGAAATATACTTTTTAAAGTTTCTAATACTAGAGGAAAATATCATACCATGTCTTATAAGTAGATTGTAAGTCAAAGATACAGTATAGATCATAAAACAAAAATTAAAATTAAACAATATTCAGAAAATTAAGTATTAATTAATTGAAAATTAAATTAAATGTTTCAAAGCAATATTCCATTGTTAAAATTAAATTGTGAGTCCCATTAAAAGGCCAAAATGTCATTTCATATGTACGAATCTGTGATCAATTCAGATTTTGAATAGGTTAATAGACACAAAAATATCAACTAACAAAAAGTTTTCATGATAGTAAAAAATTACTAAGAATAAAACATAAGATAGATACTGGAATGGCAGATATATGACCAGTACTTCTAACAGTTTAGGATAGGATATTGCACAAAGTTCTAGTATGTTGTGGACATAGACAGTGTCTATGATGCATACTGGGTGGCCAAGTATCTCTCTAAGCATCACAGTGTCTATGATGCTTACCGGGTGACCAGGTATCACTTGTGGGACTACTGCTATTTCCTTGATATCCACCTTGTAGACCTGGATAGAATCATGACCCATACGGTGCTGGAGCAGTCCATTTGTAGAGTATGCTGATGGAAATATTTTGCTACTGTATACAAAAGAATAATTGAAAGACTGCTGTTGTATACCTCTTTTCCCCTGTGTTTAATTGTTTGCCCCATTTGGTGGGTTCTTTTCTTTCTCATTCGTGGAGTTGTGGTCATTTTGATCCCTCTCTACAATATCTTTTAGTAGTTTGTGTGGGGTTGACTTTGTCATCATGAAATTCTTTAGTTGTTCATTGTCATGGAAGTATTTCACTTCTCCAATATATTTGAAAGAGAGTTTTGAGGGTATAACAGTCTGGGTTGGAATTTGTTTTCTTGCAAGATTTGTAGTATTTTACTCCATGCTCTTCTTGACTTAATGGTTTGTGAAGAGAAGTCTGCTGTTATTCTGATGAGTTTTCCTTTAAATGTGATGTTTCTTTTTTTCTAGCAGCTTTCAGTATACTGTTCCTGTGCTGAATTTCTGGGATCTTGATTATTGTATGTCTGGGTGTGGTTTTAATTGGGTTGATGTTATTTAGAGTTCTA